GTCTTTATTTTACAGTTAAAATATATGTTTATGAAATAAAGTCTAATGTTACAACCAAGTCAGGATCCCTTTAAAAATATTTAACTGACACAGAATCACTAAAGTGAGCTCATTCGGTTGTTTTGTTTGATACGAGGCAGCAGGCGTCTGTCCCACAATAAATATGTCCCGGTCCAGTTCAGTCCAGCTGTGTTCTGCTCCACGCCTCTTTTGGATCCGTGCTGCAGGTTCATTTATGAACACGTTTATGTGAGCGGGACCTGCCCGTCTTCACCTGTGATCTTATGAATGACTCAGGGAGGCTTAAAGCCGGACCGTGTGGCGATTGCACGGATTTGACTTACGAAAGGGCAAACTGTAACTCCACAAGCCCCTCTTTCACCACTTTTCTGAGGCGTGTCTCAGATCAACTCATTTTTTAGGCTGTCTCTTTAAATCCAAACGAGGCACTTCACAACACCCCTACAGTGTCCAGACTGATCCACTGTAGCTTGATAGAGGGGTTTACAACTATATGGCAGTGCAAATATTTTAAATTTAAAAATTAATTTAAATATGTTAACAATGGAAGACTTGTCCATCCAGCCTTACATGTTGGRGCCAGAGCCTGACCCCGAGCCAGAGGAGAATGAAGACGACAAAATTGCTGTTAGTAAGTCCAGAGCTTATTTGGCAGTTCTGTCCTTAATACTGTGACATTATTGTTTAGAAARCATCATAGAAAATAAAGAAAACTGAACAGGTTGAAAAATATGACCCAAACAGAATATAAAGATATCTATACAGTACCTGGTGAAACTAAATTAAACTTTTCTGCATTCCTAAAGACTCAAAAGTACACAAAAAATGCATTTAATTGCAAAACATTTGGATTTTGCATGATATGTCACCTTTAAAGACTTTCCTGAGCAACAAAAACTCACTGTGACACAAAGTTCTTCTGTATCAGGAAGGCAGAGATGCCACAGAGCCTCCACAGCACGTGATGGTGGGCCCAGTCCAACACAATGTCCAGCAGCATCATCCACAGATGCTTCCATGCAGACGAAAAACGTGGGACGCCGTCTCCAAAATAACTCAGGCTCCAAGGCCTGTGGGTCAATGCTGTGACCACTTCAGGGTCACTTTGTCTTATCTGCACCAGGGTGGAAGGGAAAATAGTGATTAGTGTTTGTAGTGCAGCAAGAAAGAGCACAACAGATGCCATCCATGCTTTGAGGATGCTGATGGAGATGTACAGAGAGGGTCAAAGAAGTTCATTGTGGATTTAGATCAGGGGTGTCCAAACTACGGTCCGCAGGCCAACTGCGGCCCGCGGTACTGTTTTTATTGGCCCGCAGCAAATTCTGAAAATATAATTTAATATGGCCCGCATTGCGGAGCMTCTAGCTCTGGCTCTGAGCATCTGATCCGGGTGGAAGAGGGCTTGTTTTAAAGCTCTGGATCTGCGCTACAACCTGGTGGTGGTTGCAAGTTCCTGGGACGTTCCCCCGCGGAGATATAAGCAGTCAAATATCGGTGGGCGAGCTCCGGCGGGTGAAACGGCTGAATTTCAGCACTGGGCTGCTGGTGCTGATGCAGGGGAATAAAAGGAAGATATCCAGTCAGGTGGAATCGGTCCTGGAGACTCAGCACCGAGTTTTGTAGCTGCCTCCCTGCTGGAGCCACTGGCGGGCAATATTTCTGCAATAATGCAAAAAAATTCAGAAACCCATGTAGTGATTTCATGCATATAATTATCAGTTCTGACTATATTTCTTAACTTGTTCCTATGACTGCTCAGAGAATGGAAGAAAAAACCCCACTTTTTACTTCAGACTATATTTAAGGATTTTGCATGGAACTTCCTTTGTGGCTTGAATTAACATCTCTCACACCTTCTCCCACTAGACTTTGCGACGACACCCCAGCAGTCAAACTGATAGAATTTATATTCTGACAAATCCCTGTTGCTTCCATCCCCCA